GATTGTCACTTTGATAAAGTATAACATACAGCTTAGTTGTTGAGAGATGAAAGAGAGCATTTCCCATTTCATAAGACCACAGTGCTCACATCTAAGCTGCCATTTCTAAAAAGTGGAAGGGAGATGATAACTTTTAGGGATAGGGGAAGTTATCTTGCCAAAGAGGGCATTTCTTTGCCTTTTTTCAGATCACGTTACTGCTACGTTTGACAACTATTTTTTTATTGGCTATTCATCGTGAGAAATCGGTTGTAATGCCAATGATTGGCTGAGCCTTGCCATGTTCACGCATTGTTGGCAGATCCTCAAATTCATCCTGTAGATTACAATTGAACTACTTCAACCAGGACACGGCTGGTCATAGTACCCTAAAGCAATAACAGTGCTGGCGAAATCTTCAGTAAACAAATTGTTGCAGAATGAAAAAATCACTACCATGAATTTTTGTATGCAAATTTAGCATTCATGGTAGTGTAAATCTTTAGGCCAAACATCATCATTTTAACTTGGGTCATCACTGATGATGGTTTAATTTCCTGGGAGTCTAATTGAACGGTTGGTTTGAGCTAATTGAGCATACAGAAGGCATGACAGTGTCTATATAACAAAGGCTCGAGCTAACAGGGTTTAATTGCGTTAGAGCATCTCCAGCGGGCGGGGGGTTAAAGGCCGTTTTGCCTCAAAGTGGCGCAATTGAGACTCATCGAGTTTTAAGGGCTACAGCAGTAGGTCGTAACGCGGATTTTAACTTCAGAGAGTCCTATCAGATGAGATCGGGGATTCAGCTGTGCCTCTCGTGGCTAGAGATATTGGAGGACCCAGTGACCGGTACTAGGCAGAAGAAGGACGGGAACTACTAGAGCCACTAGAAAGAACCAAAACCATGGCACATGTGTTGGTAGCAGTAGATAAATAGATTACACCTTCTCGCACTTGAACTGTCAGTCAAGCATCTCGCTCCAATTCGCCGAAGATCCTTGGATGCTGTCACAATGAAAGCTCACGAATTACCTGCTATAAATGATTTCATCGCTGAGTTTGGCAAGAAGACGTTACGTGCAGGCGACTATATATCGTATCATTCAGCAGACTATGGGGATACAGGCAGAGGTGGGAGCATGGTTCAACCTTGCATACTAGCCATTGACCCTGATAATGATCAATACTCTTTAACGCTCGACACAGGAGCGTTACTGATTTCAACATGGAAGGTTAGATCCGACAAAGACGCTCAAGGACAACGACAGCTACGCAACATTCGCACTTTCGAACTCGTTAACAGTTCAATTTCTGCTCTAACACGTCGCGAGCAGTTCGCAGAAGCAATTCGCGATCTCCCAGAAAACATAATGGCAGAATTAAACAGCAAGAGATACACAAAACGTTTGGAAGACTGGAGTAAAGACAACATGAGCAATGGTGATATATTCTCTGGTTCGGGCTCCAACTCTGAT